CCGTCGCGGCCCTGCCGTCGCGGCCCTGCCATGCCGCCCTTCGTCGCAGCCCTGCCCTGCCGCCTTACGTCGCGGCCCCTGACCTGCAGCCGCGTGTCGCGGCCCCCCTGACATTGCCGCCTCACGTCGCGGCCCCTTCCCTGCAGCCCCGTCGCGGCCCATGCCCTGCAGCCGCCTGTCACGGGGCACCCTGCCCTGCAGCAGCCGCCGATGCCAGGGCCCCGTGGCCTGCAGCAGCCAGGCCCCTGCTGCCGCCGTTGCGGCCCTGCTGCCTCACGTCGAGCCTGCAGCCGCCGCTTGCGACCGCCGCCGTCGTCGTCGCTGAGGCCCCGCCGCCGCGCCTGCTCTGCTCGCCCCGGTGAGCACCACCCCAAGCGCGCCACCCGCGCCTACTTGCTCGCTGCCCAACCGAGCCGCGCCGCTCCGCCGGGTCGCGTCGCCCAGCCGAGCTGCGCCGCCCAGCCGAGCCGCGCCGCTCCGCCGGGTCGCGCCGCCCGCCGAGCCGCGCCGCCCGCCGAGCCGCGCCGTCCAACCGAGCGCGCCGCACTACCTACTGAGGCGCGCTGCTCCTGCTGCTGCTACTGCTACTGCTATTTCTGCTGCTACTGCTGCTCCTGCTGTCTTAACCCTAATGTACTTACCTTCGATGCTGAGGGTCGGGCAGTTGATTTCGAGGTCTAAGTCATAATCTGCAGCTGTTTCTGCAGTGCGACTCTAGGGACGGAGTCTCACTGTTCAATCACACGTCCGGCATCTCTGTTGCACCTGCTGCCGATGCTTATAGTGCTGTTCGCTCGCAGTGGACCACGCGCGATGTTGCTGCTCGTCTAGCTGTTCGTAGTCACCTGCCGTTTGCTGAGCGCGCGCACTTTAGCCAGTACAAGATCGCTAAGACTTTGTATGACGCTGTTGTTGCGCGCTACACCTCCCCTGCCACTTCTGCCCTTAACCGCCTCATGCTGCCGTACCTGTTCCTTGACCTAGCCGCTTTTGCCACAGTTGCTGACCTCATTACGCACATCCGCACTAGTGACACTCGCTACCGCGCTGCGCTTCCCTCCAAGTTCTACATCACTCTCTACTACCTTGTCACCTGGCTCCCTGACTCCCTTCGCTCGGTCAGGGACCACTTCCTCTCCCTTTGCCCCACAATGCTCACCGTTGACCTCTCGAGGAGCGCCTCCTTGCAGCTGAGAAGAGTATAGTCCCTGTAGGAGCCTCTCGTGGTGACCCTCGTGCCCCTTTCTTTGAGGGGTGCTCCCCCGTCCCCCTTTTGCCCTCTGTTGCTTCTGCTGCTGCTGTCGACCTCGTTGGCATCGAGTCGGTCGGCGCTGTGTCTCCTCCTAGTGGGAGGCACCGCAGCGGCAGGAGCAAGGGGGGCAAGGGTGCTGGAGGAGACGGCGGGGGCGGCGGTGGTGGAGGTGGAGGCGGCGGAGGGGTGGGGGTGGAGGTGGGGTGGTGGCGGGAGTGGGGCTTTGGTGGCGGTGGTGGAGGTGGAGGCGGCGGCGGCAGCGGCAGTGGGGGGGTGGCGGCGGCGGTGGTGCGGGTCGGGGTGGCGCTGTGCAGCGGAGAGGCTTTGGTGGTGGCCAGCGCCAGCAGCAGCAGCGTTCTCGTGAGACCCTGTCGCCCCAGCAGCTTCGTGAGTGGTACGCTGGGCGTGGGAGGTCTGGGGGCCGCACGCCACGCACCGCTATTTCGGTCGCCTGACTGACGCATGGCGTGCATAGTTTCCTGGCGCCACTGAGCTCCCTCGCTGGGGTGATATGCTTAAGTTGGGGGTTGCTATCTTTGATCTTGATTATGATGCTATCCTTGCTGCTATATATGCCGTGACTATTAGTGCTGAGGGTGACTGTTACCTCTGTGTTCCGCCCGACCCGGGCATTGAGGCTACTGCTCTAGGTGCTAGTGAGTCTGCTGCTCCAGGTGCTGGTGAGTCTGCTCTCTTAGGTACCGCGTCAGCTCAAGTCTTGCACACTTTCACCCTTGACTCGGGTGCTTCCTGCTCTTTCTTTCACGACTGCACCACACTCTTGCCTCTCAGTCGTCCAGTGGCAGTCTCTCTGGCTGACCCCTCTAGGGTCCAGTCCTTGCACACTCCTCCACGATTCTGCCGTGTCCGGCGGTCTCGTCTGGCTCTCTGTCTGGCCTCCACCTCCCCTCATTCTCCACAAACTTGGTGAGTGGATCTGACCTTAAGGACGCGTGGGTTGACTAGTTTACTCATGAAGGTCAGCGCGTGACCCACTATTCGTGTAATCGGACGGGCCAACACCTGGCCACGTTCACCCGTCAGCCTGGGTCGAGCCTGTACACCCTGACTACCGTGTCTCCTCCGGTTGTTGAGTCTGGTCAGGTAGCCGCGTCGGGTCAGTGTTTGCTGCAGCATCCCATCTGGTCCTGAGTCTGCCCCCTGCTCGTGTCGCCTCCTATCTCACCAGACTCTCCTCTGGCACCACCGTCTTGGTCACTCCTCCCTGCCTCGTCTCAGAGGCATGGCCTCCCACGTCCTTGTCACTGGTCTTCCCCGGTCTCTCCCTCCCCTCCCCACGGGGCCTGCCCCTACCTGCGTTCCTTGCGTCGAGGCGCGGCAGCGCACCGCTCCTCACTCCTCCGAGTTCCCTCCAACGGAGGCTCCCCTGCAGACTCTTCGCATGGACGTGTGGGGCCCAGCCCGCATCCGTGGACAGGGTCACGAGCGCTACTTTCTGCTGGTCGTTGACGACTAGTCGCGTTACACCACTGTCTTCCCCTTGCGCCGCAAGGGTGAGGTCACTGAGGTGCTGATCGGCTGGATCCGCGCTACCCATCGTCAGCTCATCGAGAGTTTCGGCTCGGACCTTCCTGTGCGTCTGCACTCCGACAGAGGTGGAGAGTTTTCCTCCAACCGTATGAGGGCCTTCTGTCGTGCGGAGGGCATCCGCTAGACCTTCACGCTTCCGGCCTCTCCACAACAAAATGGGATTGATGAGCGCCGCATTGCCATGGTCATGGACGTCGCTCGTACGTCCATGATCCATGCGGCTGCTCCCCATTTTCTGTAGCCGTTCGCGGCTCAGTACGCTGCGCTTCAGCTCAACCTCCAGCCTCGGGTCTCCATGCCAGAGACCACACCTACTCTGCGGTGGACGTGGAAGGTTGGCGATGCGTCTGCTTTCTGTGTCTGGGGATCTCGAGCTTTCGTCCGCAACTTGTCTGCGGACAAGCTGTCCTCCGTGCTGTTCCCTGCGTCTTCCTTGGCTTCCCCCCCTGACGCGCCTGGTTGGCAGTTTTACCACCCACCTCGCCGCGTGTTCTGTCCTCTCAGGACGTCATGTTTGACGAGTCGGTTCCTTACTACCGTCTCTTCCCCTACCGTACTGCCCCCCTCCCCCCCTTGCCACTCTTCCTTGCGCCAGGTCCTCCCTCGGTAGACAACCTCCCCCCTCAGGGTCCTGCCCCCTCTGGTCAGTCCCAGGTAGACGCAGTCGAGCCTGTCGAGGTAGCTGTTGACTCTGGTGTGCTGCTAGGGGTGCTGAGCATGCGGGTGCCGGGTCTGGGGGTGCTGCGCATGAGTGTGCGGAGCCTGTGGTGTTGTGCGTGGGGTGCTGAGCCTGGGGGTGCTGAGCCTTGGGGTGCTGAGCCTGGGGTTGCTGAGTCTGGGGGTGAGGAGCCTGAGGGTGCTGAGCCTGCGTGTGGAGTGGAGTCTGGAGGTGCTGAGCCTGGAGGTCCTTCGGGTGCTTCGTCCGGCGGGAGCCACTCTCTCTTCAGTAGCTGCGCTACTGGTTTGCTCGGCGCTGGAGCCGTGCTGCTGGAGCTGGTGGTGCTACGGCGCTGGAGGTCCTGCTGCTGCTAGAGCTGCTGGGGGTTCTGGAGCCACTTGTCTCGGAGGTGCTCGTACTAGAGGTACAGGAGCTGCTGGGCCTGGTGGTGCTACTGGAGCTGGCGGTGCTCCTGGAGTAGGTGCTGCTGGAGGTACTGGAGCTGGCGCTACTGGAGCTGTTGGGGCTTTTGGTCGTCCCGCTGGAGCTGGAGCTGCTGGAGGTGCTGGTGCTGGAGGTGTTGCTGGAGCTGGTGGTGCTGCTGGAGTTGGAGCTGACGCTGGGGGTGATGGTGCTGTCCCTGCTGGTTCTGGAGGCGCTGCGCGGCCGCGGCCGTACTTCGTTCCGCTCCTTGAGCAGGTTCTTGGTCTCCCGCCTTCTACTGGTTCTGCTCCTTCCTTCGAGTGTCCACCGCCTGTCCAGTCGCAGTCAGAATTACAGCCCGCCTCCCCACTCCCTACTCTTTCTCCTTACACTAGTCCGACCGGAGGTCTTACAGAGCGTCGTGAGCCTGAGTCTCGTCCTGCGTTGCCTGTTCGTGCTGCTCGGACTAGTCGCCGTGGTTCGCGCCATTGTCCTCCTCCTGTCCCAGGCACGCACTAGATGGCTCTGCGTCCTTCCACTGCTCCGCAGCTCCGCAGCGTGTTCCTCTGCCGTCTCCTCCTGCGTCCTCCCTTCCTGCCCTTTTTGACCCGGAGTCTGACTCCCTGCGTGCTGCTAGTCCTACTATCGCCCGTCCACTGGCCACTCTTGTCACTAACCCTTCCTTTTAGTCCACTGCTGCGTCTGCCTTAGTTGCTGAGCTTGTCGACTTTGCTGCTCACTGTCGTCTAGACTACGTCGCTAGTCTTGTTGCCGAGTCTGAGTCTGTCTCTCCTCCGTTCGTCGGGGGTGAGTGTGCTCTTAGCATGGACGTCCTTGAGGACAAACAGGAGGAGTTCCAGTGTTTTGCTACAGCTTTACCTCATCTCGTGTCCATGCTGCTTGCCCCTGAGGGAGACCCGGATGCACCAGACATCCCGACCCCGCGCTCTTACGCAGAGGCGATAGAGGGTCCCTACTCCTCTCAGTGGCAGACAGCCATGGACGCAGAGATGGCTTCCCGGAAGTCCACAGACACCTACGTCGACGAGGTTCCCCGACCTGGGGCGAACATTGTCGATGGCATTTGGATTTTCAGGGTGAAGCAGCCGCCGGGTTCTCCGCTTGTCTTCAAGACGCGTTACGTGGCTCGAGGCTTCAGTCAACGGCAGGGCGTTGACTACTTTCAGACCTTCTCTCCCCCCTGAAGATGACCAATCTTTGGGTACTACTACTCGTTGCTGCTCTGCATGACTACGAGCTTCACTCTCTTAACTTCAGCACAGCCTTCCTACAGGGCAGCCTGCATGAGGAGATCTGGCTGCATCGCCCACCTGGATTCACTGAGTCGTTTCCTCCTGGTACCCAGTGGAGCCTCCGTCGGCCAGTCTAGGGTCTCCGCCAGGCGCCCCGTGAGTGGCACGACACACTGAGGACTACGCTTGCGGCTCTTGGGTTTGCTCCTTCCACTGCTGACCTGTCGCTGTTTCTTCGCACCGACACTAATCTGCCGCTGTTCTACATCCTTGTGTACGTCGACGACTTGGTCTTTGTTACTGCTGACACTGCTGGACTGGCCCACGTGAAGTCGGAGCTGCAGAAGAGACACACGTGCACAGACCTGGGTGAATTGTGCAGCTATCTTGGCTTGCAAATCACCCGGGACAGAGCACGGGGGCACCATACCTACCTTGACTCGGTCACACATGGTGCAGCAGGTCCTTCAGCGCTTCAACTTCACGTCTCCTCGCCTCAGGCCACTCCTCTGTCTACTCGCCACTCGCTCTCAGCTCTACCTTCGGATGAGTCCGTAGAGCCGACTGGCCCGTACCCAGAGCTTGTTGGCTGCCTCATGTACCTGATGACCTGCACTCGACCTGACCTGGCATACCCTCTTAGCATCTTGGCACGCTATGTTGCTCCTGGGAGACACCGACCAGAGCACATGGATGCAGCTAAGAGGGTGTTGCGCTACCTGTGCAGTAAGTCGGGCAGCTGAGGCTCGTGCTGGAGAGTGGCTTGTCCTGTCCGTCACACGCAAACGCTTCTGGGTTGACGACTTGGCTACGCGGCGGTCGTCACAGGGTTACACCTTCAGCCTTGGTTCCGGCTCTGTTTCGTGGCAGGTCTACCCGCTCGTCTTCTATTCTCAGCTCCAGTTGTGAGGCTGAGATCCACGCAGGGGCCATGGCTGCACACGAGTTACGCTGGCTCACCTACCTGCTGACCGACTTGGGAGAGGCGCCTCGTTCTCCTCCAGATCTGTACGTCGACAACAAGGCCATGCTGGCCTTGTGTCAGGAGCACAGACTGGAGCACAGAATGAAGCACATTGCTCTGCGCTACTTCCTTGCTCAAGAGTTGCAGCATCGTGGTCAGCTTGGTCTTGCTTACGTGGCCACTCGGGCCAACACTGCTGATATCTTTACCAAGGCACTTCAGCATTGTGATCATCAGCGTTTTTGTACTATGATAGGTCTTGTGCCTACCTGGCCTCACTTGCTTACCTCTTGACTTTGCTTGTACTGTGATCTATATATACCTGCACGTGCATGTTTACCCTTGCTAGGTTGAGATCATTGTCTTGCTTGTTCACCCTAATTTATAATCCTGCATGTGAACTGGCCTTGTGGCCTTGTACTTATGCTCAGAATGTGTGGTGACGTTGTGATCCACCTTGAGCTTGACCTTGCCTTGTTCTCTTGCTCGTCCCCCACTTTGCCTATGGGGGTGTGTCAGAACTATATTGTAGGCTGTAGTGGGGCACTCCTTATGGGGTACAAGAATTGTTAGATTTTGCCTATACAAACCTGTCAGAATCCCAGCCACTAGACCACTGGGATAAAATGGCTTGTTAAGTAGCGGGTCAGTGCGCCCATAACCCCCAGGCCAACATGCCTGTAACCCTTTCCTAGGATCAAACGGGGATCACCAGTGGACCTCTGACACCCCCGCACTGGGATGTCCGAAATGCAAACACTTGGATTCGAACCCGAGACCTTCGCTCTGATACCATGTCAGAATCCCAGCCACTAGACCACTTGGATAAAAGGGCTTGTTAAGTAGCGGGTCAATGCGCCCATAACCCCCCAGGCCAACATGCCTATAACCCTTCCGTAGGATCAAACGGGGATCACTAGTGGACCTCTGACAAAACCTTGTACTGTCCTGTTTCTAGTAATTCCTCATT